AAACGAAACCTAAGGCAGGCAGGTAAGCTTTTCAGGAGAAACGAAACTTAAGTCAGGAACCAAATGGATGCAACATAGTTGTATGAACAATAGTATAAAAAGAGAACAATTAACACCCTCTACTCTATTTAAACTTGTAGATTAAAGGCTGACCTTGCAGGATTACTCAGATATTCCATCCCTAATTCCATCCTGGTTTATCAACAGGTCTTGCCCCGTTCAGTGTGTAATAACCCCTGTCCTGCTGGCTATCAGAAGAAAAAGAAAGAAGGCGAGACATTTTGCTGCTATGATTGTGATCCATGTTCCGATGGGAAGATGTCTAACATGTCAGGTAAATTATTTTCTATTTACCCTCTCCTCTCCTCCCCTCCCCTCTCTGATATATTTGTGGTCAATTATTTTTATTTAGATACACAGCTTATTTGCTTCCTACAGTTATTCTAGTACAAATTCACATACTGGAAGATTTCTCAAGGTGGTTTTCATTATAATAGGTAATACTAGAGTGAGAACCGTTCAAATAATTCCTAAACTAAATAAAAAGAATGATAGAGGCCCAAAATCAATAGATAGAAAAATACATCCCTAGATATCTTGGTGCCCATAGAAAAAGCCACGTTTGATCATGTGACTGAAGCCCAATCCTCTGTTTTATGTGTATGTATTATATATACCAACACTAAATTGGTAAGAATTCAGTCACAGGGATGGGACCACCATGTTGGCTTTGGGGACACTTTAGGACACTGCTATTCATACATATCTGTGCCTAACACTTGGACATGGAAGGCCTGAAGGGATGTGATTTAATGAAGCTTCTGGAATATTTCCAGTATGGAAATTCAGCTTGCTGAATCTGATTATCTAATGAACTAATCAAATGGTTTTCAAACTTAACCACTTTAAGAGATGAATTAAATTCCCAGAATTTTCCAGACAGAATTCTCAGAGTTGAAGGCCAGGCTTTATATAGTGTCTAAGTTTACAAAACACTGATTTAATCTAAATTATATATTTTATTTTGTGCTCCATGTTAATATTCCTCTCTCTTATTTGTAGATATGATTGCTTGTTCTGAATGTCCAGAAGATCAATATTCAAGTAAGGATAAAGTTCAATGCATCCCCAAAATCATAACTTTTCTAACCTTTGATGAACCTTTAGGGATCACTTTAGTGATAGTTGCTTTTTTATTTTCAGTCATTACCATGCTCATACTTGGAATATTTATTAAGTATAAGGACACCCCTATTGTTAAAGCTAACAACAAGGACCTCACCTACACTCTCCTCATCTCCCTTCTACTTTGCTTCCTCTGTTCTTTTCTCTTCCTTGGAAAACCTTTCAAACTGATTTGCTTCATCAGACAATCTGTGTTTGGCATTATCTTCTCTGTTGCCATTTCTTCTATATTGGCCAAAACGATCATGGTCATTGGAGCATTCATGGCTACCAAACCAGGGTCTGGCAAGAGAAAATGGTTGGGGAAAAGACTGTCCATCTTAATTATTTTTTCTGGCTCCTTCATTCAAGCAGGCATTTGTCTGGCATGGATGATCACCTCTCCCCCATTTCCAGAACTTAATATGAAATCAATGACTAAAGAGATCATAGCAGAATGTAATGAAGGATCTGTTGTGATGTTTTACCTTGTCTTGAGCTATATGGGATTTCTGTCTCTGGTCAGCTTCCTGGTGGCTTTCTTAGCTAGAAACCTGCCAGACACATTCAACGAAGCCAAGTTCATCACTTTTAGCATGCTGATGTTTTGTAGTGTTTGGTTAACTTTTGTTCCAACCTATGTGAGCACCAAAGGAAAGTATATGGTAGCTGTGGAGATCTTCTCCATCGTAGCTTCTAGTGCTGGATTATTGGCATGTATCTTTTTCCCCAAATGCTACATTATTTTGTTGAGGCCTGACCTTAACAGCAAAGAGCAACTTGTAAAGAAGAAGCATTTCTGACTAATTGTGGGTATATGTATTTCTATTGTGAAATGGAATTAGTAATCCTTTTCTAAGAATAAAAACTATGCTTGTTTATTAGCCATGGCAATTTTACTGATATTTAATTTGTATAACTCTATAACAGTGTTTGTCAATATCTTATGAGCAGACATGGAAAATAAAGTATTTCACTGTATAATGAGTGATTCTGGTTTCTATAAAGTATTTTTTCTTAGTTCTGATTATTTACAAGACCCATTTAATGAATAAATAAATTGGTCTTCTTCCAGGTTTGGTAATTATAAACAATGATCTGTAATATATTTTGGATCTTTATCATCATGAAACAGAGAAGAGACAATCTTCTTATTAGCAGTTACAAGTAAATTTCTAATTAAATCTACAGTATACATGTCTCTCTCTATGGTTGCAACATACACACACTCCTTAAATTAGGACCATAGGTTTAGTGACTGTTCAGAGTTATGACAAAAAAGATGTTAGTTGTTGAGACTTTGGAAAAAGTGCAGAGAAGATCAACTAAGATGATTAAAGGGCTGGAGACTAAAACATATTAAGAATGGTTGTAGGATTTGGGTTTGGCTGGTCTAGCAAAAAGAAGGACTGAAGGGATATGATAGCAGTATTCTAGTATTTGAGGGGCTGCCATAAAGAAGAGAAGTCATCTTATTTTCCAAAGCACCAGAGGGCAGGACAAGAAATGATGGATGGTGTTGTGTCCTGAGCCTGCAAGATGCAGGCTCGGGACGTTGCAAGAGTCCCGGGCAATTGCAGAAGCTGACTGGGACCAGAATGAGTGGCGCCAGCCTTGCGCGCATGCAAAAGGTGGGAAAAACCCGCCTCATGATTGGTTGAACTTGCCCGGGGATCAGAGGGTATAAATAGAGGCCTGCGTGCCTCTGCTCTGGTTGTTCGTAGAGTGGAGCAAACAATAAAGACTTGTTGAAGATGAATCGTCTCAAGCGCCATTATTCCCAGGACTTAACAGATGGAAACTAATCAAGGAGAGAAAGAAACTGGAATTAAAGAGAAACTTCCTAACAATGAGAACAATTACCCTATGGAACAGCTTGCATTTAGAAGTTTGGGTGCTCCAACATTGGGGATTTTTAAGAAGAGATTGGACAATTACTTGTCAGAAATGATATAATGATAGAAAAACATGGGTTAGACCAGTATATGGATTTGTAACTGACTCACCAACCACACTCAATGTGTAGTCTCAAGTGGAACTGCATTTACATGGAAGGAAGTTTGCAGTAGGTCACCCCAAGGCTTTGTCGTAGAACTAGTACTCTTGAGTATCTTCATCAATAATTTAAACAAGGGGATATAAGGGAAACTCATCAAATCTGCTGATGACACCAAGCTGGAAGGAATAGCCAACACTGCAGAAGATAGACGCAAGATACAAAAAAATCTTGACAGACTCAAACACTGGGCCCTATCTAACAAAATGAAATTTGGTCATGAGAAAAGTAAGGTTCTACACTTAGGAAGAAAAACCAAATGTACAGATATAGAATAGGTGGTACCTGGCTCAAAAGTAGTAACTGTGAAAGGGATTCTGGAGCCCTAGTGGAAAATCATTTGAATATGAGCCAGCAGTGTGATGCAGTTGCCAAAAAAAGTCAATGCAGTCTAGGACTGCTTTAACAGAGGGATAGAATAAAGGTCACGTGAAGTGTTAATTCCACTTTATAATGCCTTGGTATCACCACACTGGAATATTGCATCCAGTTTTGTTCACCACGATATAAAGAAGATGTTGAAACTCTAAAAAGAGTGCTGAGAAGACCAACAAAGATGATTAGGGGACTGAGGGCTAAAACCTACTGTGTGAAGAATAGTTGCAGGAATTGTGTATGTCTAATTTAATGAAAAGAAGGATTAGGGATAACATGATATCTCTATTCCACTATCTAAGAGGCTCTTACAGAGAAGAGCGAGTCAAGCTATTCTCCAAAACACCTGAAAACAGGACCAGAAGCAATGGGAGGAAATTAATCAAGGAGAGAGAGGGAACCTAGAAGCAAAGAGAAAGTTCCTGACCATTAGAATAATTAATCAGTGGAATAAATTACCTCTGGGAGTTGTGGGTGCTCCATCACTGAGGGTTTTTACAAAGAGATTGGACAACCATTTGTCTGGAATAGTATAGGGTTTCCTGCTTGAGCAGAGGTTTGGACTAGTAGACCTCCAAGGTCCCTTCCAATTCTGTTATTCTATTATTCCTAACTCTAACTGGGATCAAGGAAATCACCTTAAGGTTAACTAGGGGATTTAATATAATTCATACAAAAGGTGACCATCTTGATCTCTCCTTCAAGCTCTTGGAGGAAATTTGGGATTGGTCTTTAAAAAAAAAGATGCCAGATGAACTGTCAATCAGAATAAGCAAGTATCAAGCATGGACTTTTTATGTATATCCGTATTTTAGAAAAGAATAAGGAACCCCTACAATATCACCCTCAGTCTCTCGTTTCCCACAGGGATACTTTTGGAGAACATACAGATTTCAGCCATGAATATTTGGTTTGGGAAGAATTTTACAGAAATAATAATATATCATTCTTTTATGTGATATGTCCTTTAAAAACTAATGATGTGGTTATCTTCAGTGGTGTAATGCGGAAATGAAATAATTGCTCTCCAAACCCAGGAGGTTCCATTTGGAAGAGGTGACTATTTATGGGCAATTAAGCTAAATGACTATTATTGATGTTTCATTACACAGCTCCAACAGTTTTCCACAAAATACTGAGACACAATTCAAAAGTCAGTCTGGAAGAGGTTATAAAAAACCTTTCACATCTGCAGTTGAGGAAAAAGAGGCAGGCAGGTTCTTGTCCCTTTGGACTCTGGTAGTGAATTCCATTCACTAGAATGTGCTTGTCCAGCAGGACATGTTCTGCAAACCGTGTTGATTTCAACCAATGAAGTGGCAGAACTGATATAATTATGTGTGTTAACTGGACGTGTTCCTAGATTTTGTAGTAGATGGGAAATTGTCTCACCATTAGCAGTGGTGGGATTCTAGACAATAAGAAATAAGTCTCTTCTAGAGAAAATGTTGAGGGAAGTGATCATACTGTGGTTGATGGTTGACATGAAGTGCCAAATAGATGCCACATCTTGCCCCAGAAGTGATCCTTCTCATCTCCTTCATGAATGGTATAAGCCAGGAAACCTGCTCATTGGTGGGATCACAGCTCAGGTAATATATGTGCTTGAGGAACATTCCTTTGAGGAACATCCTTCACAGAAGTCATTTATGCCCCCTCTGTAAGTAAT